AGTCTTTTGTGATTTGTGAGGCGAAGAACGAGCGACTAGTGGAGATGTTACAGGATGATATTATTGAAGAAGCTGACACTCCGTATAACTGCCCAGTTCTTCTAGTGAAGTAAGCAAACACGAAGTACAGATTCCGCGTCAATTTCTGACGGCTAAACAGTATGACAGAGCTGAGACTGTGTGCTATGCCAATTGCAGTAGAGACCTTGGATTGTCTACAAAACGTGAAGTTGTTTACGGTGCTCTACCTTCGGTCAGCACATTGGCAGATGCCAATTAAACAGAGTGACAGAGATAAGACGGCGTTCGTCGTGGGACATAAGCAATATCAGATAAAACGCATGCCATTTTGACTAGCAGTTGCACCGTTTACATTCATACGACTGATGACGCTCTTACTTGGAAACTTGAAGGATGTAGAAGTGTGCAGCAATGACTTCGTCATCTACATTCAAAATGAAAGCGATCATGTGGACCATGTCGAAGCCGTGCTATAACGCAACGAAGGGTTTGGACTGCTCATCAACAAAACCAAATCTCAGATAGCCAAACGCAATTGAGTCATAAAGTAGACAACGGTGAGATAAAACCGCTTCGAGAGAAAATCTTGTCGATGAGGAACATTACAACCCGAGTTCCAAGAAGAAGCTAAAGCAGTTCCTGGAGAGAGCAGCGTTTTGCAGCCGATTCGTGAAATACTTCAATGAGATAGCAGCCCCCTTTACAGTCGAAGTTCGTTCCCAGAATATATTTGACAGTATCAAATGGCTTTTGGACAACCAGCACATGACATCGAAACTGCCTATACCTGGAAAAAAGTTCAAAGTTTGTACAGATGTGATTGACTAGGGCATTGGCACAGTAATTGGACAGGGTGTAGGAGATGTTGAATATGCCAGTCATGTTTTAACGCAAACAGAACAGAAGTACTGAACGATAGAAAAGGAATGTTTAGCAATAGTAAGGATGGTTGACAAATGGAGACCGTATTTACTCGGCCAACGGTTCAACATCGAAACTGGTCACAAGTCGATGCAGTTTCTGAGGACAGCGAGAGACCCATGTGGGAAATTGTCACGGCGGATGTTGCGTCTGCAGGAGTGTGACTTCACGATCTCACACATCCCTAGAAAAATCTTTGGCAGACGTTTTATCTAGACTGAAAGATGAAGCAGAGTTACCAGAGGTTGTTTACGGAGTGCCAGCATTGTCACAAGACCCATTAAGACTTGCCCACAGTGAGAAATCAGACGCTACCCTGAATGCAGGCATACGGGTGATCACTAAAGGAACAGAAGTGAATTAACCTACAGCGAGTAAGGAGCTGACTACGCTACTCAGACAGAAAGATCGGTTATTTTTGAACGCCTACGGAACTCTGATTTCGCCAGAGAACGATGTATGTTGGTTGGCGTAATTGCCTCAGGCTCTACGCCATGAGATAATAAAAGAATGTCACCAGCTAGCACACACAGGAGTAGATGAAACAGCTGACCTCTTAGGACAACCCATGTACTGGTCAGGTATGAGAGAAGATTTGGCAAAATACGTACTGGGATGTCCGCTTCCCGTTTGCAACAGGTGAGTATGAAGAAGGTCAGAATAACACCAAATCATCCGCAAACGAGTGGCCTGACAGAACGGAATAATCGTTCGCCGAAGGAGTGGATGGCTTCTAAGGGAGGTAACTGAGTGACATAGCTTCCATTGATTCTACTAGCACATCGTGCGTCCACCCAGGAAACAAACAAAGAAGTCACCCATTTAGTTGATTCATGGAGAGGAAAACCGACTACCAAGACACAACACAACTTGGCCCCCCATCAGGAGTGGAATATGATTAGGCTGCGAATAGAATTTAAAGAAGCCGTCAGGAATAAGAAGGGTTAACAGAAGAAAGACGCCATGAAATCAGAACAGGGAGGGAAGATGCGATGTAGAGCCTTTGGGGTCGGAGATCAAGTTAAGCGTAGGGAAAGAATGGACGTCGTTAGATGTGTGCCAGGTTCTCAGAAACTCTTTCCGAAGTAGTAAGGGTTACATACTCTAGTTGAGAGACGTAGGCCCGTTTATACCATCAAAAGAGGAAATAAGGGGAGACGTGTTAACATCAGCCAACTACAGAAATGGATCCAGTAGGATAGGGAGCCGGGACCTAGATACAACAGAGAGAGGCAGAACCAAGGAAGTCTGAACGGCTTAGCTCGAAAATGCTTCATGGGAGACGAGCGTGGCGAGTGATACTGATAAGATTTATCAGAAGCATGTAAATAGGCCTTCATCAGCATATGAACATCAAACAGCTGCGTCGGTGTCACAACGGTTAGGACTCTCGCCGACCATGTACATGGTCCGGAGTTCGATCCCCTGCCGACGGACACCTGATATCAATGGTCGGCCTGCAAAATTCGGGTTACAGATATCACATCCTGAAAATTTCATACTTGTACCAAAAAGACGGTGTGGAATCAAGATATAATCAAAAATTTATATTTGATGTCAGAGAGGGTAAATGATACAGCGTTGTGGAGATGCATGAAAGACGTGAAAGAAACACGGTAAGGAGGCAAGAAGTAACACAACACGAAGATCTGTGCAAATGGTGCGTTGAAGACAAGGTGTTTATATTATGGCTATAGTGAGAAACCGAACTGCAATTAAATAGTCCTAGACCAACCCATTTGTCCCCTACCGTTAGAAGTAGTGGCTGTGGTCACAAATGTGAGTCGCTCCGGCCTGTAAAACAGCGGCATGCATTTTTTACAGCTCGAGAATTAAACATGAATTTAGATCCTCAGCATAAAAAATTAGCGTAAAAAACAGTATTGCCTCCACAGATCTAAATTATAAAAAAATACTTTTTCTCCTAACATCTAGAAGCCTGCTCAGCCTTCTGTCAAGATTTTACCCCCATGGTTTCTGCACAAATTCGCCAAGCATCTTGCAGGTCAGCATATCCTACTGGTTCTAATCTTTCAAGCCACTTCTCTGAAATGTCACTTATACACCTCACAATAATCCTTTTATCTAATTACTATAATACTCCGTTTCACATTAACTCCCTAGACCTTTATTAAAGCCACAACTTATTCTTTTCATTCACATTCTTCTCTCGCTTAAAGTCTGGTTTCTCTGATGCAAAATCATAACAACAACACCCATATTTGAGAATAACTATATTTCCATCTAAAATTTTATAGTTTTCCATGATAAGACCAGTATGGTTAGCATTATACATTGCAGTGTATGCTATCATTCCAAGTACTCTGTAGCTCCTCGCATTTATCCCGTAAATGTACTTTCAGCAATGTTTTATACACAACTGCATTTTATACCATTTTACAGCTTCCCTTCGCTTACTGAAATAGCTATTAGCCACGTGGTGCCATAGTGCATACCCAGATACATGTTGTTTATCGGCTGGCTACCACTATCAGTGGGAAATGGAAAAAAGTTCGGGTAGGCGCTAAGACTCGATCGTGACCTTAGTGAATGGTTAACAACATAACATTTATACGAACCTGTTCTGATTACTTGTACTATAATCCAACAATTTAAACTTTTGAAAAAGTGATATTTCACGCTGATTCACCATTGCAATTTATAAAATAACTGGGCGTGCCTGTAAAAATCGCAGGCCTTTCATGTAAACATACCCATTTATACAAAATACATATGGCATCGGTGAAGTCATTCGACTTCACTTATTGAGAAGATTCATTCTCATGCCAATTCCTTATTTCTCAAACTGAGATATACGCCTGCGAGTTCAAAATTTTCAAGTGCATCAGCAAAAAAATTTGAGCATAATTTTAAAAGTGTTAAAAGTGCGAATTGATGTAAATCGTTTTATCATTTAGATAGAATAGAAATTATCATCAAAATTCACTGTTGCAGGACCTGAGATCAAGAAAAGTTCTCTCATTCTTCTAGTAGCCTTTAGTGACAATTTTAATGAAGGTACAGGTGTACACACAAGTGATTTCAAACGGAGTGGGAAGATAGACATAAAAGACAAAAGAAAATATCGGGCTCACACAGGAGTTCTGCATACAGAATAATTTTACTTCAGAAGTGATATGCTGGAGAAAGGAACAGACAAAATGCACTACGAACCTATGGAATCAGAATCAACGGTAAAAGTGGAAAATGAACAGAATACAATTAACGCAAAAGTGACGGGACACGCTGATGAAGCTGTTGAAATCAGGGCATATGCATGACCTATGTGCAAGATAATAAAATCAATGATGCAACAACAGATAATAATAATCTACTTTATTCCAAAAACAGTTAAAGTGATACTGGAACTGAACCGAAGTGATTCTGTTCAACAGATATTTTCCAAATTACTGGTGTGTAAGAGAAACTCCAGCCAGGTAGTCGTTGAAATTGCCCTTATTCGATGCAGATCAATATCTTCCTATTCAACAGAGAAACCGTGTCATAAGTGTGTGGCCCTCAGGTTCGTTACTTAGGCAGTTTGATTTTTTTGGCGCATTAATAAGGCTATATCTCAGGAGTTTGTCACTGTTAGAGTTTGAAGCTACATTGTGGTATACACATGAATTGAGGGTTGTGAGACGGTTGGAGTGAAAGAAATCGACTGGTACCCAATTCCGTTTTGGATTAAAGGGTTACTTGTAAAAGTTGTTGATCAGTATTTGCAAGTGGTGCGATGGTAACTCTCGAACAGGTTGAGAAGGCATGAGGCAGTAGTTTAGAGATTAATTTGAGGTATGGGTAACAGTGACATCAAATGTTAGTGTAAGTCTGTGGACCTACCGATACAGAGTCACGAGACAAACAGTGAAGTGCCAGAAAAAGGGGAAACTTGTATGCAGTTGCCTAGCCTAAACTATATTCGTCATTTTCAGCCGTAGCGCAGCGGTAGCAGAACAAATCAAAAGCTTATTTAGGAAGCACGGTCAGAGAAGTCGACATTGTTTGCGTGCGCTCTTCAATAGCACTTGAATATTGTATTTTAAGGACATTTGAGGGACCTCTTCAAACTCAAGGTTTCCCCAAGGTCGTTCCTAGGCGATTGTCTGTCTTTCCACGTAAACTTTTTCCAGGTAGCTTCAGAGTGCAGAAATAAGTGACTGTGAAGTATTTGTGTACAGTTAAAATGGCATTTCAATTCAAATGTAAGGTGTTGTACTGAGCAACGTAGTTCACTTAGGTTACTAATGGTGGTATCAGTTGGTATCCTCAACCTGCACATATTTTACTTCGAATGGGGCATTTTAACAGATATTTAAAATTTAAATGGTTGTTTAATGTTGTGTGTATCTTGTTTCTCGACGGCGACAGAAGCCCAGTTTCATTGGAGTACAATGCGTATGGCTATCTGAGAATTCTAGTACCGACGGATGTATCTACGAAACCTGCCTTGTGAGTGCCACCATGCATTGAGACAAGTGTCCTGGGAAATGTGGACTTTACTGACGATTAATACCTCGTGTCCCATAAAAATCGAAGATATACAGGCGAAAACCAAGAAGTTAATACAAAATGCAGCAAAGACAGGACTTCCTTTCAGCCGTAGACAGACGGCACGAATAAGTAGGTCAAATTCCTTCAGGGTCCGGTTGGGAAAGATAGACTGACAAGCGTTCAGTATTCTGGAATTATTGTGATCTGCATCACTCACCATAATAAACAGGATCTGGGTTCCCAATACTGGTTTCAAGCCATTTCTCCTATGTGGTTCAGAAACTTGGCAATCTCAATGAGTTGCAGGATTTCTCCAACATCTACTTTTGGTCGGCAAGGATATACAATAAATAACTCCGTCAGGAAGTAAACCAGCAACGAACCTATCACTCAGCAAATATACAAAAGGAAATGGATGGGGGTCGGGTATATATTAAAGAAACCGTTGATTGACATCTCACTGTAGGTCCTGTAGAGAAACTAGAATCGGAAGCAGCGAATTTGGCACCCGAGGGTGACACTAAGGAGATAATGTGAAGATGAAATGGTAGCTTGTAGGTGGTTGTAGAGCCAGTTGAAAGTGATATCTGAGTGGAATGGAGACGTTCTGGCAAAGCCCGCGTTCCTCTTGAAACCCATGGAATGTACAATAATTTCTTTACTGTGCTACAGTTGGAAAGCGTTTTATCAATGAACCTTTATTTATGACTGGAAAGCTGTGTATAGTTTTATATGAAGCTAGTTTCCTACATTACATATTCATGGAGAGTTAAGGTGTTTTTACAACTACTGCCCCATAGCTACACACCGCCAGCTGGTTGACTTATTTGGTATGTTCTATCATCACAGGTCCTAATAAAAGAGGGCTTATAGTCACATTCTATCGCTGTAAAGTTGTCTACGGATGAGATTTAGTTTCAGTGACTCTACTTTCAGAGAAAAAGATGGCTATGGATATTTGAGTATTCAGTATAAATTTATTGTAATATAAAACGCAGATTGAGTGTCAATAGTTACTCAAGTTGCTATAAAGTTCATACTGATGCAATCCTTAGTTCGCGCATCGTGGCTTGTTTCGTAAGCAGAATTCTGTTAAGATAATGAGTTGTTTAGAAAGTTCTATAAGTTATTTGAGAAAGTCTCATGTGTTTGTTATATTTCTGTGTTAATTTTTTTTATTTTGCCTTCATAGAAATTTTCCATGTCTGAGGCGGTAGAAACATGTTCGAGGGAAGAATGGAATGTCGATGGTGGTGAGCTACAGTTGGCACAGGACTTTGAAGTCATTGACCTTGAGGTATAATGCAGTAAATAGTCTTACTATTTGAATTGTTGCAGGACTTCGATTCTGGTCCAGTTGATAACTTAGAGACGGATGATTCATCATATATGTCTTCTTTTCTCAATGGCCTTGTGACTGACGAAACTCTTTATTCAAGATACTTGAATGGAGTTATTAGTTTCGATGATCTAATGCGTGAAATGCATCACTCTACTAATGTTGACGATGAATACTTCGGGAGTAGCGACTCGGATTGTTCTAGTAAAAACAATGATCCAGAATATATTCCACGTACGTCATACGATTTCTGCTTTTGAGCTTTAAGTTGTTTTTTTTTGTAAATTTTAAGTTTTATTTAAAGGAAATAACGGGTATAATGATAGTGAATTAATGTTCTCATATTCTGTGTAACTCCTTTCTTCTTGGTATCCTTCTTTGAGATAGACTCACATCATAGCTTTTTCCGGAGCTGTTTTCTTGATCGATAATTGTTGAAGGTTCTTAATTTATGGTGATACATTTTCTATTTCTTTCATTATCATTTCTCACTTTTGTTGGCAGTCATTGCGGAGACACAGCTTACGTTTGAGAACTTTTCTCCTTGTCATTTTAATAGGGCCTCCATGCATTAATCAATTCGCATGATGCTAAAGAAATTGACTGATGTTTACTTATCTCTGTCGGGTGTCTTCACTGTCTCGATGGTGGGACGGATTGTAGCCCAGATGCATTTAAGATGAATTCTACTACCAGCTGATAGATCTCGTGAAACAGGTGGGTCGGAGGGAAAGCATAGTGATGGCTGGGGACTTGAATGCATAGTTTGGGCATCTAAGCTCAGAGAAGAATCGTCTAGGTGGTCGGTGGAGCTTACATGGTCGCAGGTCAGATAATGCGAATCGTCTTCTGCAGCTTTGCGCAGATCACAGCCTATTTCTAGCCATCACCAACTTCCGGCACAGCCATCGCCGTAGCGCTACCTGGCTCCCTCTCTCTGCGAATCAAGCTTGGACTCAGACTGATCTTATTGCTGTCAGTTTCGTGTGGCGAGGATGCATACAAGACTGCCGCTCCTTCTGGAGCACATGTCTGGACTCCGATCATGCGTTAGTGTGTGCCAGGTTCGTCTTGCGGTTTGATGGAGTTCATAAAAGGTGTCGTCTAAACGTTGATGTGACCAAATTAGTAGCATCTGCTACTTCTCTGAAATACCACAATAAGTTACAATCACTGTCTCCTAGCAACTCCCCAAGTAGTATAGATGAACATTGGCTCCATATGCAAGGTGCCATGCAAAGAGATAGTGTAACCGCTTGCGGCTTGAATGAATGGTGTTCTAAAAACACTGGGTTTCTGCGAGTTCCTTGCAACTCCTGGATGAACGCCGGTCCATTCCGGCTAGCAGAGAATACAGCAATAAGCGAAAGGCACTTACACGCAAGACTAGATAGTGTTTACCTAAGGACCGCGAAGCCTGGTGGTTAAAACGTGCGTGTGAGATGGAGTCAGCTGCTGCATCTGGCAACAGTCGGAAGCTCTTCCAGCTCATCCGAGCCACCGGCAGCAAGAAACAAAGTGTCAGCGAGACGGTCTGTGAGACATGGTACGCCAATTACCAGCCTGAAAAGACGCCTGAAACGCTGGGCAGAGCTCTTTGGAAAACAGTTTAGCTGGTCACCAGCTTCAGTATTTGCTGTCACTAGCTCCAGAGCTTCTGGGTCGGTTAGTACGGACCCACCAACCGGAGCGGAGGTCCGTAAAGAACTCCAAATGTTAAAATACTATAAGGCACCCGGCTCAGACAATCTTCCCCCAGCTCTTTTTAAAGATGGTGGCGAGGCTCTCGCAATGGCTATAACTGGTTTATTCAGGAAGACATGGGAGACAGAGAGTGTACCATCAATGTGGAACGAAGCCATTATCGTCCCCATCTTTAAAAAGGATCGACGTAATTCATGTGACAACCATACGGGTATCAGTCTGCTATCAGTTGCGTCTAAAATATTGGTTGCTGTCTTGTTCCGCAGGCTGTTCAAAACACATGTAGGATTGATTCGCGAAGAGCATGCTGGGTCGTGGATGCATTGATCATGTGTTCACCCTTCGCCAGGTGTTGGAACACCGCTATACTTATTGCAGGCTAGCAATCGTTGTGTTTCTTGATATTAGGGCTGCCTTCGATTCGTTGGACTGAACTTTTCTTTGGAACTGTCCGTTAGAGAGGGCTGTACCTGAGAAATTTGTTAACATCTTGAAAGTCCTATATACAGAGAAACATCTCAGGTAGAGTGAGGGCATGCAAGCAACTATCATCACTGTTCCCAACCAACAGTGGGGTTAGACAGGGTTGCCCAATCTCTCCATTTCTCTTTAACTTTGCCATCGATGACATTCTGGAGTCAGCTCTGAAGGATGTGCTTGAAGGTGGTGTAGATCTGCTACCTGGAGATAGACTTTTCGACCTCGAGTGTGCAGACGATATCGTCTTACTGTGTGATAGCATGGAGGCTGCCCAAATCGCACTTAATCAGTTGACGATCAGTGTGTGTAAGTATGGTCTGTGTTTGGCGCCGTCTAAATGCAAAGTACTGTTGTAACAATAGAAGGCAAGAGTCAGGCAACAGATCGTTCCTTATGGAAATCAGCACATATTTATAGATCTTCATGTACATTATTATAGATTATTGTTAGCAGACAAACACAGTCTTCTGACTGGTTGTTTCTCACTAAAAGTTAATCTTTCATCTCTTTGTGGCTGTCTCTTGAATGTCAGATCATCTATCTGCTAATTGTATCCGCCTACGCACAGTCTGCTATCATTCTTTGTTCTTGTTTTCACATGACTAATATTTGGGACATAAAGATTGACGTAAATTACTGTCTACCAATCTGACTAGCAGCCAGTTCTCACCACACTGTTAGAAGATTGTACCTGCACTCACTCTTGCAGGTGAACCGCTTGAAGTTGTTGATAAGTTTGTTTATCTGGGTAGTTGTGTGAGTGCTGGCGGAGGGGTGAGGGATGCGATTTCCAACCATATAATGAAGGTTAGTGTGGCATACATAAACTTGAGCCACCTCTAGCGGCGTATTGACGTCAGCCTGGCTGTCAAAGATCGAGTATACAATGCTTCAGTGTGGGCTGTCTTGCTCTATGTCTGTGAAACCTGCCCTCTCCGAGATGAGGATATGCGTCGGTTTTGCGTATTCGATCATCGCTGTCTCTGCAGGATTGCTTACGTTCGATGGCATCATCGCATGAGTAATTCTGAGGTTCAGTGGCGTGTGTTTGAACACAATGGAGATCACCATTTGTGGAGTGTCGTCATCTGGAAACACCGGCTTTGGTGGCTCGAACATGTTCTGCGAATGTCATCCCAGAGGCTCCCTTCTCTGTTCGCTAGCCCTGGGGCGGGATGGAAAAGGCGGAGAGGTGGTAAGTCCATGATGTGGCGTCGTGGGATGAAGGATATTTGTGCTAGGTTAGCATCGTTTGGTGCATCACATTTCCTTGCCTGGAGTCCGAAAGATAGCTCGAAACGTTATCGGATATGGGCAAGAATCGTAATCAATGGCGAACGTGCTGCAATTTCCTTCTTTCTTTCCTTCCTGATGATAGTTGATGAATACTGTTTGAACTTGTTAAGTATGACTTTTCCTTCCAGATGAAGTTCTTTGTCTGTTCTCTACTTTTACTTTTAATCTATGTTGTTTTATTATTATTGTGTGGCGCATCGTCTTGGTGCCATATCGTACCAAGTTTTTCTGCGTTAAAATAAATAAATAAACTCAATGGTGAACTGGACATGGTGTCAGGTTTCCCGGTTTGGGTGAGGTTTTACAGACTTTGATATTTCCCTCAAAATGCTGTTGTGTAACAACGCTCTCAGAGCTTCGAGCAGACAAGCTCGATTCAGTACCTTGACTCCGCAGTGACTGTTCTAGCAAATTGGAAAGGTTATATATCCTGACATGAAGGATTCTACTAGGGAAGTAAGGAGTCCGTGATTTTTAAACTTATGATGCTCATATACATATGGTTAATTAATCAGCTCCAGATTTGAACCTGCATTACTTAGTCGGAGTTATAAACAAGTGGTATAAGCGTTGTCTCTTCGAATAAACTGACCTATTGCAGCACTGTCCTAATTAGGGATGAGCTTTATCATCAACTGAGTAACCTCAACCTAGTGTACCCGAGAGATATCGTAGTGGAAGCTGGAGACTGATACAAATATATCCCATCTATACTCGAGTGATCGATAGTAATTCGATATTCACAGGTCAGATTTGAGGGACCTTTTTTCACATTATAATTTATTTTTTGCAATCACACGAAAATCGTCTTTGTGTGTCCTATTTGGCATCTTTCATTTGCCATTCAAGCCTTTAGCGAGATAACTCACGTTGCTGTTAGCTATCTGTTGGCATTGAGTGTCTTTAGGTATAGTGTGTGCTCTGCATCATCCACATCCAAAGTAGAATGCCTACTCATTTTGTTGAATTAATTAGTGACAATTTCTTATGATTGATATAAATTTGTGATTTAATTTAAATCTTTTTGCTAAGATCGATGTTATTGTTTTCAGTGCTTCGTTATAGCTCGCGTTGATTTCACTTTTACTAGCTGATTCAGAGTATAATATCTGCGACTGTTACACAAGGTTGTAAGGTCCTATATTATTTCAGTCGGTCTGCCTGTTTCTCATAGTGTGAAATAGAATTTAGATAGTTACTTTCACTGAAAGGTTATGTTCACTGTTTTGTTTGTTACAGGTTTCAGGAGATCTAATCGACGGCAAAGTTATGATACACCTGTAAAGAAAAAGACGAAAACGAGAGGATCACTTATTGTAATTCTGTTTTTTATAATTAATTTGCACTTAACTTTTATAATCCATTGGTAGACAAAGCGTGCTCGCTTGCCAATTGAATTAGCACAGTATCTCGGAGAAGCTGAAAGACATCTAAACAATGACGAATTTGATCATGCTGAACGGATATGTTATGAGATCATTGATACAGGTAACAATATTTGTTGATTGATATTCAATCAGTGGATGGAAACGAATATAAAAAATTTGTTGTGTCTCCTTGTTCTAGTAGCTTGGGCATCAGCCGTTTTTCAGTGTATAAGGTCATTGGAACTTCAGTTGAAGTAACTTGTCTGTTGATTCGAAAAGCTGTCATCTCGTGAGGTCAATCCTGTTGTCAGACAATTTACATTTAGGACTGTAGGAAATCTTACACCCAATTAGTGATAGTTTTCTATGGTGTCTGAGTAAGTAAATATTCGTATAAGCTCATAAAAGTACTTCCCTAGCTAGCTTCTTGTTTTAAAATAAATTGTCTGATACAATGGGTAAATAATATATTCAAATTTGATTGATTCTCATTTCTTATACCTTTATTGGTAGTTTCGTAATCGTTGCCCCGTGTATGTGTTTCAGACTGCTAAAAATTCTGTGACTAAATTGGAGATGTAGCAAAAGCAACTGCCAACTACTAACCAGAGGGCTGCGAAACACTTAAGCGAATTTGTAGGGGACAAACCTGTCATTGGGAGAAAATAATCAGATCACTCACATATTCATATACTTTTTACTTCGTAAATAATGCTTAAAAAGGAAACACCATCTTATGTTTCAGGGTACTTGTTAATCTTTAATTGCCTATTATCTTTAGGTGAAGACCTGTAAGTAGGTGGTGATAATTCTCCGTTGAGTTTAGTTGTTTGTAAAAAATTATATTTTGCGTTAAGCAAGTATTGATCACTGTGTTAATGAAACAGTGTTTTGCTGAATAAAACAGTAGTGTTGCTTACCGTAATAGGGTAGGTGACTTTCTGAACGTATCTGATTCAAGAATTACTACCCAACCTCGTACTAAAACTTGTTTCAGTATTTTGAGAGTCGTTTTATTCTAAAATTCCAATAAGTAGTATATTGTCTTGTTTTTGTGAATGTTATTAAACTCCTCGTCTCCCTATGACTGAATGGCGAATAGGTGATCAGAAGGCATTTTGTCAAACGACTTGTTTTTCTCCTAGTTGAAAACTTCCATTGTGCTTATCTTTCTGTTTATTTTTCTTTGTTATAAATGCTTCGCTGAAAAATACTCTTTGATGATAGAAACCATACTGGATTTGATCCGTTTTTTGGATAGGTTAAATTGATTATATGTCGATATTTAGACTATATTCGTTAAATAGATGCCATTAAAAGTAACTTCTAAGATTTGATGTGTTTCGCTGATCTTGATGTCTGCTGTCAAAATAATTGTTAAATAGATCATGAATTTATCTTGATTTCGTTGTTAGCTTCTCAGGCATCCCAACCGTATATTGTTCTGGCTGAAATAAGTTTCCGTCGAGGGAACCAAGAAAAAGCTAAAGAAGTAAGTTTAACTTACTATTTTGTAAAATCCTTACGTTCAAAGCTGATTATATGATTTTGAATCCCTTACTATTTGCTGAGTATCAATGAATCAAAAGAGTTTCCTTGGTTAATTCAAATCGATTTGAAGTTTAAAAAAAAACTGTTGGTCGCTAATTTCCACTGACAGAATTGGATAACCAGCATTCAAAGAAAAATAAATCCAGATGTCTTCCTATCCTTTTTCCTTGTTGAAGGGTCGGGCTTCTGTATTTCTGCTCTACATGTTATCGTAACACTAAAACAAAATTTTGTAGCATCATAATTAATGATTTTGGAATTTCTGATCTAAATACATTTTCTCTTTTATTTTTAGTTCTTGTATGAAGCTGCTCAAAGGAACCCATCCGATAAAAATACATGGCTCACTCTTGTTGATTGGGCTGAAGAAGCTGGTGATTATCCGCTGGCGATCCACTATGCACGCCAGGGTAAGATTTTATTATTGAACATATTCAAAATGAGTTAAAACAGATGCCATTTCCAATTCTTAATAGTTGTGTATCGTTTTAGCCCTTAGAAGAGATCGAGCCGACACATGTTTGCGTCAACGCCTGATCTACTTGTGCCAAACCGCTGGTCGAAGTAGAGATGCTCTACAATTACGCTTAGCTGCTCTTACAGTTACTCCGGAACCTACCGGCGAAGAACAGTTTGAAGTTGCCCGAGAATTAGCTGATGTAAGTTTTCGGGTTAATTATCTCAATGAATGGTGTACTTTTGTGTAACTATTTAAAGTCTCAGAATGTCAACCTGCTTTTGATCTCTTGCTTAACCAGTTACATTTTTGGTTTACGGAAAGTTCGGCTTACTGACGTGCTGAAGACTCTTGTTAAATGCACATAAATTCATAACACTCAGTTGGAGAGAAACATGGGTTGTGATAGGTTTCGACACATCGCCTCCACGCTTCGAGCATAGTATTCTGTGAGCTGTGCTATAATGACTGGAAAAACCTCATGTTTCAAACAATGACTATTTTGTACAGTCTGTACAATTTGAAAGACGCATCACTGTCCATTCTTCGTCACAGCGTTTTAAACATTTTTGTTCCAATTCCAACCGAGGTAAAATGGATAGGAAGAACTGATTGATTTTTTATGCTATTTAAAGTAACTGCAGTCGACAGACTAACCTTATCTAAAATGAATAATAGAATCTGACTAAGTAAGATCATTTTGTCACTCATAGTTGTTTGTCAAATTGCAATTAATAATAATAATACTAAAGAGGAATAAATGTTTGCCAAGTAAAAAGCATGATTAAGATTATACACATGAGTTGCCAAACAATAATCACTGTCATATTTTAATGCAGATAAAAACGGACACTATCGTGCAGTAATGCAAGGGTGTATGTATTTGTTTTTCTCATCCAGTAGTAATATTCAATATTGTTTCCGTTCTGTTGATCAAGGTAATAAATTTGATACACAGGTTAAGTTTTACGATAGTTTAGTGCCATGTATTTACTCTCTGGTTATTACAAATGATAAATGAAAGATTTTAGATTTAAATTTCTAGCTCATTTGGTTCCTGTGTAAAAAAGTCTTCGAGTTCTACCGATGATATTGAAATCTTATCGTACAGAAAACTAATTGTTTGGTGGTATTTTAATTTTTCTGTTATACTGATAGCAATTTTTCAAACTGCTTGATCCATACAATTCAGTGAAAGCGTATGAAAATGCCTTCGAGCAATATCCCAAACATGGAACAGATAATGGTATGCATAAATGTCATATTTTCTCTTAAGGTAAATGTATCCTAAAGATCTTACTCTTATTTTTCTGCTATAGTTTCTGATTAAAATCTTGTTGCTAAGGTTGTATTCCAGTATGTGTTTATATATTTTCTCACAGTAAATGACAAAGGAAGAGAAAGTATACACCAATCTGTTTATAAATTAGGTACAAACATCATTTAGTATGGATAGAAGTTAGTAATCAGAAATTATTGAATTTTCATCCAGTGACTGAGTCATAGTATGCCTGATATGAAGGTTAAGGGTGCACTTCCACTGAGGACCATGCACCGTTTAGCAGTTTAAAACCAGGACTGGACAGTTGTTCAACTGTACATTTAGGTTATTTCTCTGTATGTATCAGTTCGCATCACATTTGTCCGTATTGAAAATTTGTTGAAAATTGTTGTTCATTCAGGCATGCCTGGATGATGTCCAGTTAAGCATGTTGCAAGATATTCTGCTAACTTGATAAGGCGTACGTACTCTGGTTGGATGATAACCATCTGTGAAGCTTAGTTGAATAAATCTTCTACTGTGAAACTACTCAGCTACTGATTACAAATAAGTGTCCCAGGATGATTCGAGTAAACAATCGAATATGCAGTCATTTGTGTACAAGAAGTGTAACTGATGCATGTGTCAGACAAAAGGTAATAAATTAAGCATCACTCATCATGCAGTAAACTCTTACTGATGAATACGCAGTTACTGGGATTAAACATTATTAAAATAAATAGGTGCGTACTTTTTATACCTGTGTAATGCTACTATATCATTTGTTCCTTTCATTCTATTCATTCGTTTTGTTTTTACTTTAAGATAGAAATTCCGCTTTATCAATTTTGCTTCAAATGAAACGTTACGATCACGCGCTTAAGGTAAGCTGATTAATAACAGAATTGTTATTTTACATCTTAATTCTCTGTAACTTACTGTACAATTTTTGTAGAATAATGCTGAACTTCCCATAGTAACTAATAATTAATAACAGCAACAATGTCTTAGGCTAATTTTCTGTATTTTCAAGTATTGGTTTGTAGGGATTTTGTTTGATTGGTTGGTGAATTTCATCATGAGCTGACATTGGTTAGAGAACCATTGGAAAAGCTGGGAGTACTTGACAGCTATTTCGTCCTAGTTTGGGACTTGAGGAGAAGTTTCTAATTATTATCGAAAAGGTGTGATATCATCTTAAACGAGTCTCTGAATATGTTGTAAAGTTATCCTGAATCTTAAGTAAAACCAGCCAAATATTAACCTTAACCTTATGAAGGAATCCCATACTGCCTAATCAGTACACTTCTCTTTCAGTGAAAAATATGTTTACTGCGAAAAATACAAGCTAGGACACCTCCGATTTAGTTAAGTATATATCCCCATCCAGCTGAGTTAAGCAAACAGTATTACTGATTCCTGTCAGTTTTCCAACTGCAATTAATTAAATATCCATTCATAGACATCACTTGAATACATGATTTTTCAACGATAAAGGACAATTTGTTAAGTTACTTGGATTGTTAATGTTATAACTGCAGATTACAGTGCAAGCTACTGTTGTTTCACAAAGCTTAGTGGTCGCGTTACAAAATGTTATCGATAGATTTTGATGTACATTCGGTCGACTAATATTTAGTCTGTCATATTTTGATAGTTCAACTTTGGCCAAGGGCATAGTACGACATAATTAATTTCGGTCTGAGTCGTCTAAAGAAATGTAGGTTATCTCGTTTATGGAATGTTTGAATATACTTTATTGATGTGTTTTAAAATCATTCATAATAGCACTGATCTCTGCACTATTTATTACTAATCTGTATTTTATTATTATTGTCTATACTCTCTCGTTGCTAATGTATTATCATTTAACTTCAGCTCACTTTTTTATGTTCTGTTTTAAAGTTCAGTAACTCCAACTGACGCCTTTTTGTGCAAGTTTCTGAATTCACGTAATCTCTTTGCTGTTTGTTCGTGAATGAAACTAACAGTAAAGCTTATTTTGTATTGGTGAATCACTGTATGCACGTAAGGTGATTTTTAGCACTACAAAATTGAATTTGAAGTTTCATTTGTTTTTTGTTTCAAATTACAGTTTTTCACTAGTTTCTGCGGTGTTAAGTTGTATTTAAAGTCTGGAGAATTATTTGACATGAACAAACATTCATCTAAGCTGACATCTGTTGATAATTTTGAAAAGTAAGTTGATTATTCATTTGTTCTTTTACACGGAATACAATTTCTGCCTTTAGATTTCATCTACATGATAAGATTTCAATGGAGTTAAAGTTGAAGTTATTTCTCGTTCTTGCACATCTTGGTCTTGGTACTTTAATCGAGGTGAGTTCATGTATGTTATTGCGAGTCACTTTATGCGGATTTTTATTCAATTGAAAAAGAGAAGACATTCAGCGAAAAGACTCTTTTCGGCGAATTCACTCACATAGGTGTACAATCGCATTTCTATATAATTATTTGTGTGTGTGTGTGTGTACATGAGGTTTGTCAAGTTTAGATAATTGATTAGTTAATACAAGAATGATGTAGTATAGAGACAAAGTTAATCAGACAGCAACTAAAGTAAGATTGAGTTTAATATATAATATAATTGCCTAAAATGTTACAACTTAGGTCAGGATAGCAACAGAGGTAATTACAGGTAGAGATTAAGTAGAAGTGAAATTGAGTAAATAAGTTGGATGACTCAATGGGGATTTCCAATTTTATTTAATTCTTCATTATTCTATGTATTATATATAGTAACATATGTTCTGTTTTTCTAGTGAAACACTTAGTTATATTTCACCCTGCAATAACTGTGAGGTCAACTACATAGGTCAAACTAGTAGGTCAGTGGTAGTTAGATTGTCGGAACATAAGAATTTAGCTAAGTAATTTAGAAAAAAGCTCAGCAATTGCACTGCATGCATTAACACACAACCACATAATAGGGTGGGAGGGGGTTAAAATTCTAAGAAGTAATGTAGGTAGGTGGAGAGAGAGGTTGATTACTGAATGCTTGTTCATCGAGTCTACACCCAACACATGCAATAGGAATGACTCATCACTCATACCGGAAATGTGGAAAATACTACTACCAATCAAGTCAAGTGATGAAAAATAATGGAATTATATAGACGAAGTTAGAGAGTTGTGTGATTACCTTGACATGATTATGAGCAATAAATTGTGTTCGAAACGTCATCAGTAAATATTACTGTATAACACTGTGAGACTTTATGAAAATAAATTTTACCCATAATGGAATTATACTCTGCCACAGTGCACAAGTTGTATTCTTATATTTAGTTATATTATTTTATTGAAATAGGAATTATAATGTATGTTTTAAAGGTTGTACCATAGTACTTCGCCATCTGATCAAAGTAATACTCATCCTGGGTGATGGTTGGGAAACAAGTCATCAATTCATTATTCCATATTCACGTAATCTAAACAATTTGAATGTCTGAGTTGAATACAATAACATACATTGTTAGTGGACTTGGTAATGAAGTGTTGTTCAGTTCTACGTTACTGGGGTGTTGTTATTTCAACATGTTAGTCAGTGTAAATGAATAACAGCTGTTCAAATTGTATCAGTTTTGCTTTCAGTCATACCATGAAGATTAATACTCAATTGATTCTGACCACTTAAAAATGCATTCACCATCCCACTTAACCGTGCAATCCAGATAGAGTTTTTTTATTTTTCATCCTATTAAATTGTATGATTTTTAAATCTGCTTATTCTAAGTCGATTTGTTTCTGATGTGGTAAAGGACAAAACATATAAACACATCCATATAGTTTTACACATTAAAGTTTCATTGTATTTGCAGGAAACTTATCTCGATTTATTAAAGGAGCTAGAGTTCTGTCCTTAGAAAAAGAGTAAGGTATTTTTTTTAACAAGAATGAAACACCTGTTCACTGATTGATGTTTTACAGTAATACCTTGACAATGATTATTCACTATGAAAGCTTATATTTGAATTCTCACCTCCTTATTGTAATATGGTGCCTACACTTTCTTTTTGTTTAGTCTTGCATTGGACTCGTATATACAAATGAAAATATATCGAAATATTCCAGCTGGCTGATAGACATAGTTATAGCGTATAAAGAAAAGAATTTGCACACTATAGCAATTCCGTTACTACTAAGGCTAACAAAATCAAATGTTACCTGTAAGGTAAGTCGTATCCCTTTACTAATTGGTTGTTTTCTTCTAATATAAATGTGTGAGATAAACACTGGTTGGGTAGTATATCTTTATTTTTCAGAATTATGTTGGTTAAATTAGAGTGGTTTATTTTTCGTTAAATTATATTGTAATCTAATGTCACATGCTTATCGAAGATATTCCGTAAAAATGCACAATATGCTTACCTACGTATGTCCTCGAAAAGTACTCATTTTGTAAAAATACGTATTAAAATAATCAGAAGGTATTAATTTCCCCTTCAACAGAAATATTAAAGACTTGGTCAAGGGTAGGCTTTCTGCCTAAATTATTTCATGTTTTTAAAATGTTTACTTGAGAGATCTATGCTATATGTTCCGATATTTCAGCTATAATTGCTTCTTTCTAAAAAAATTTAGTACTGTACTATTCTTCATTTCTTCCTTTTACTCATGCCAACTGGTTTTAAGAAGTTGCAACTGTTCAAGTCGTTTCACTTCATAAAAGCAGATATAAAGGTGGAGGAAAAAATCTGAATAAAGTCCAATAAACTGAAATGTGTCTGATGATGAATAGAGCCACAGAGAATGATGATTTAATGAATTTAGGAAATCAAGAGACGTGAATACATCTGCACTAATGAGAGCGATTTTAAGCCGTCTTGAAGATCTCAGTCAGGTAGTCTATACTTCCCCACATCGCTCAAATCAACAATCAAGGCCTTCATATACCGGTGCTGTGTTTCGGTCTGACCACCCTTGACCTTTTACCAACCCAGTTCTATATCAGCTAACATTACTTGTTAAGAAAGATATGCGTAACACATGTTCTAGGCGTCTCAATCGATACAACTTCACAACCTCAGTTGACACTGTATGCCTTACCTTGTTACTACTGATCATACTATATCAGCTAACACGTTAAAGTGGATGCAGATATTTGTGGTCAAAAACAGCTAGCCTCTTTATGTTTCCTATTTCCAAGGTCTATGTCTCAGCCGTAAAGAAGGGTATGGCGAACTGCTACACAGTACACCCACCCTTTTTGTTGATTTTTGATCTTTCCGTAATGCTGGAGTTTGTACTTTAAGCAGGGTTTGAGTTTCTGTTTCTGTTTTTTTTTTTTGTTTTCTGAAAAATGAAATGATTGAACTTTTACTTCTTTAAAATTTCACTGCATATGGTTGATCAGTTGATTTCCATTTTAATTTGAGGATGATGCTGAAATTATTTCCATACCATTTGGCATAAATTTCCCCAAATTAAAGAAAGTTGTTTTTCATTTACGTATAAATTTAACGATGTTTATTGACTATAAATCAAGATTAGTAGTTTGTTCAGGACTGATGAACTGTTTTCCACCTATATCGAAGATTATAAAAGGGATTTGTTATTTTGCCTGTTTTTTTATTTCTTGATACTCTGCTATTCTACTGTTTACCCTGTATTAGGTAGGTAATCAGTGTGCTATTATTGCTAGTTGGTGTGAAATTCGTATTTGAGGAGCTTAATCAACTAAGTAGACGATGAAAGATAATTGACGTTGACTTATACAATTCTCCTTTTATTTATGGATAGAAATATGTACGAAACCACTAACTTTAGCACTATTTTGCTTCAGTCATTGGTAAAATCTACTTTTCTTTATGAATACTTTCAGTTATCGTATTGGTGACTATTCATGAACTATTATTACTGCCATCTGAGACTGCTTAGTTAAATACACTGAACGATTTATCGAAAATAATCATGATGGTGAAGGGAATTTCATTGCTATAATTTATCACTTGAACTAAATGTGTGCTCTTCGTAAAGTATAATTATCAGTAGAAAATACCACCATTCTTTGGATTTTCATCATTTTTGCCATCTACAATAACAGTTTTATAACTTGCTTCCCTTTTCTCTATTACAATTAGATATGGTTCTAAGAAGAGTAATACCTACTGATTCTAAAAATAGCTATAAGTGCATCATTCAATTTATTTATTTCGAAGTGATTTCTGTTTTCGTGGAAATGTTTTGTTAAATGATTTGGTGATGGTTTTTGGTTGCATTTTGAATTTAAAGGAATCAAAGTTGAGTAAAAGGCATATTCATTCAGACCGAAAATGCGGAACCAGCGTTGATCACATAATGACTGCAGTATTTCTATAAAGCCAGTGATTATCTCCTGCTTGAGTTATGTGGGCGAATGTTCTTTGAGAAATTGTAATTCGATGATGCATATAGTTCATTATTACGGGGCTTTCCAGTAACTTTACGTCTTTTCATACGTCTTGTATCCTCTTCCTGTGATTTTCTCAACTTTATATTTCATTTCTGGTTACTGAATTATATTCTCCTTTTTGTTGAAAAAAGTTTACTATGTGTGACAAAAACTAAATCTGAAAAAACCCGACAGGTTTCAGGACAGCGAAAGGGTGCATTGATCAAACCTGCACCCCTACACACGTACTGAAATACAGACATACCTCCGTCCTACACTCATCACATTTCTTAATAGTTACAATATTTGGTTGCCAAGCTGATGATTAGAAAGCTCACTTTATAGTGATAATCCTGGTACTCTACTTAAATTCATGCAGATACATGAGAGTGCTTATGGAGAAACTTCATCTGAATTGATGACAGTGATTTCCCTCCACAACGTCCAATGTCACCTCTGCTTTTTAATTTCACTGTAGACGCACCGATGAACTGTTGACTACTAATGTGGGATGTGTAGCGAAAATTGAGGCGGTTGCTTAAGATCCGCGACGCATATGATGTCATTAATTAAGAATCGTAAATGATTTCACTAAGATTGATCCCTAGTGATGCCGACTCATTTAAGCTTTAAACTCAATATTATATTTCCTTATTCACTTCACAGTTCTGTCATCTCTTTTTTAAACTCCTGACCAGGTCGTTTTCCATTTTAATTTTTGTGTTGCTATTATTGTTCTTCTAGTTGATTTGATTATTAAATACTTACTAACTTGTCTTTGCTTTCCTACTACTTTAGATGGTACAAATTTGGACGTTGCTTGCAGAGTCCTATTTAGAGGCTGGAGAAACTGAGTCTGCCATCAAAGCTTATCGTCATGTGACAGAAAACCTCAACCCGCGAGATACAGATGCGCGTCTAGGTCTTGTAAATCTTCTTAGACGCCTTGGAAGGCATCAGGAAGCTTTAAAGGTGTGTCTTTTATCAATTAATCTGAGTAAGATTTTAACAATAATGGTGCAGTTGTAATTTTACGGTGGTAATAACCATTTGACTTTATTTTTATTTCCACAGTTTTTAGATCCCAAGAATTTAATAAAGAAAGGCGTTAAACCTGAAATATCTTTAACTGAACAGTGTGATTTAATTGTACAGAAAAGAGAAAAATCCCCCTTGAAATCGGCTAAGAGATCAGTGCTTATGTCGCCAACCCCAAGTGAATTACCACAGATTTCAACCAGTGGTGATGTGGATGGTGATAATGGCTCCGTTGAAAAAGTTGATCTTGATAGCGACTGGTTCGATGCGTCGGCTAATCTTGTTTCTCGTGATAATGTGGCCTATCGATTAGCATATGAACGTTGCCGAATGCTTGATACCCCAGAAACTGTGGACTCGTTTTTAGAAGAAGCGTGGACCTTATTATTCAGTGATGTGACACGTGTATGCGGACTTCGATTTACGCAGCGTAAGCAAGCTTTCAGTATCCTATCAATTAATTACTCATTTTCCTAAGTCATATAAGAAATAAGTTTGTTTGTTTGCCAGTTCCACATGTTCATTATTTATGTTAATTAGATAACTGAGATTAAAATAATAAGACCTAGGACATGGTAGCGTTTGGTTATGGAGAAGTAGAAACGTGGTTTGTCGTTTAATCTTTCAGTCTAGTCCAGTCAGTTTAACCAAATGTTACTACTACCAATTAGTTTCAATTTTTAACACCAATCTGGACAATTTTCTTACGTAATCAAAACTTTACTCTCATTTCTACTAGCTTCACTTTATTGTTCACAGTGTCGTTTACTAGCATTTTAAGCACTCGGAGATGACGGCCTGCCTACATCACTGAACTACCATAATTTGCATCCATTAAAAAGGCTTAAAAACTTCTGCATTTCTTATGGTTTAAATCGTGCAATTATATCATCAAATGATCACTACATGAACTCGTGCGTATATTTAATTAGCTTCCAACTAAACTCTGCTCAACTCTTGAAGGAAATAAAGAAAATATTTACAGAATTGGTTCTATCTTTATATGTAATAACGCTACTTCATATAATATACTTAAGATTATTACTTCACATTTAAATCCTGAACGAAGAGGAAATATTTTGGAACTAAATGCGCTGAAGATTTCTGTACTATGCTTTTACATATTGTCTGAAATAAATATTATTATTATTACTATAAAGAGATCATTTCATGGATAACTATAGTGTTTTTTTCTACTAATCTTTAAATAGCCGAGTGTTATGAGTATCTGACCGTTTAGTCTATATCTAAAAGTCGGACATTGATAGGGTTTCATAAAAGTAAATTTTTTCCCCCAGCTTATATGAGCTTCTTTTGTCGAGTATTTAACATAACACTGAATGAGTTTGTGTGTGTGTGTGTGTACATGGTTTAGATTAAATTGAGCAAAATTATTTTAAATTACTACGTTCTGTAAACTTTAACCGATGTATGTAAATAACAGAGCAATTCATTTTTTTATTTTGTTTTCCAAAATATAGTCGCTCTTATTCTGGATAGTGAACAGCATCGGAAATTATTGACAGATCGATTAGCCTCGGTTGCACCTGCATTAACCGATACACTATCTGATCAAATCGATGCTGAACGTTCAACTACTGAAACAAATGGTATAAGTAGTTCAGATATTTGGGGATTATTTTTACGCGTAGTTGATGTATTACGCTCTCGTCTACCAAAATCATTGCCTCAGCTGGAAACTGCTACTGCATGGGCGTCTTTACTACCACATGTTCAAGGAAATGACTTACGTCGGTTGGCTGCAAGTCATCTTTTAATAAGTTCATCACTTATCGCGCGTCATGGGACTCCAGCATTTTTGGAATTAAGGAAAATTCAGAAACAGGTTAGTTACAACTTAGTCGTCTTCATTAACTTACGTTGTTATGTCAACATTTCGTTACTTAGATAATAGTGAATTAAAACTATTATTACTCTAAAACTGTTAGTTCGGGTCCGTGATGCGAATTCCTCGTAATCCTAGTTTTTGCCTATCAAGAATATTCAAGGTTGTTCTTACTTACTGCTCTCAGCATCAGTCTAAGTTTGTTCGAGAAAACGAAATTTAGCTAATTTTCCGCGAATATATTTAGGACCGTTCACCGTTAAAAGTCTATTTTTCCAGTTTCTGATAACTATTCATCTTTTCCTGCTAGTTAAGCTGAATTCTTGTCATTCGAATATATTTGCTGAGGAAGTCAAATTATGTTTACTCTTTTAGATTAACTCTTACTCTTTTATTGAGATTTAATCACTCCTCTTACTCTGTACGAATTCTCATTCTTGACAAATTGATTACTCGACTGTACAATTTTATTTCAACATTAGTCGTCTAAGAATCATTACCACTTAAAATCATTGATATCATAATGATCACAGCTTCGTTTAGGAAACAAGATGTCAACAGACATTAGATTTAAATGACAATTATGAACCGATAGAGATAGTGGTCAAACATATTTGCAAAATAAGAAAAATCAAATATTGAAAATCAGTGGAATATCCATATCTTTTAAATCCCAATAAAGATAGTTCACCTTGATGTGCATAGAAATAGTATGACAGTCAGCATAGTATCAACTTTTAATCCACTTATACCAATAATCATAAGTTAAATCCTCTAGACTAGTTAAAACAGGATGCATCAACTGCTGATATAAGAACAGAGTTTGAGCACTGTGGTATCGTATACTTCCACTATAGAATAATTTTATTTGATAAAAATACACTGAATGATACAGTATTATTTACTGATGACACGTCTCGAACACAATATATTACCCATTATTAAATCAAGACGGTTGCATAACTTCCAAAGTTTGTCGATATAAATCCATTATATCTTATTCTTTTGATTTTATCGGTAGGATTATTTCCTAAATCTCTAGTATTGTTGTTGCACGTGTTAGGTGTGAATTCATCTATCCCATCTTATTGTGTGATTGTGTGTGTGTGTGTGTCTAGTGCCTATATTGCGAATTATATAAACAAAGTTTGAAAGATATGTGATCGCTTTGATGTGATTATGGGCAATGAATTGTACTCAAAACGTCATTAGTACATAATACTGTATCACTGACTGTGTTTTCATCAGATGAAATTATTCTATGATGCATCAGCCATTACATAGTGTTCAGCCTGGAAGTAGTAAGTACCAGAAATACTTGAGAGAAATAAACATTCTGCGGAAGCATTCCTAGGCGGTTACTGAAACTCTTTTCCAGACATGTTTAAATTAAAGGCCTTATGAAACTACAAGTCTCCGAAATGGTATAAATACTTCTGACGTATAACTGAAAAATCATGGCTCATTGTACTGTTCACATCCTAAAATTGAATCGCTTCAAGCAGACTTATGTTCTGTTTAATACTCAAATCTGTATCACTTAGTTCTGAATTGAAAGGTCTTACCACTGTGGTTGCTGCTCCTATGAATGTTTCATGCACACAAGTCGATTCACTCTTTGAAATACATCGTTTAGACCTCTGTGTGCCGTACTCATATGTGTCAAAAATTCAACTAATAGCTGGATAAGGTAGTTATGTTGCCTTGATGTGGTGGTTGTTAATGGATTTAGTGACTGTATTTGTATTAGTTATGGCATAAAATGAAAGATAAAACATGCCAAGTGTATGTTTCTGTGAAGTCTCATTTTCTAGTCTACTTTTAAATGTAATTTAACATATTTCTATATGGTACGAGTAAGTGTAAACCATTTACATTAAGCAACAACGATTATCACTGTGTGCGTCGGTGGCACAGTGGTTAGGACTCTCGCCGACCATACACATGGTCCGGGGTTCGATCCCCTGCCGACGCACACCCGATATCTATGGTCGGCCTGCAAATTTGGGCTACCGATATCCATGTTGAAAATTCCATACTTGTACTGAAAATACGGTGTGGCATCAAGCTGTAATCCAAATTAAAAAAAAATAAAATAAAATCAACCAGATTGAGGTGGTGGCTGTGTCACTCGATTGTGGCCGTGTATATTGGATTTCTGTTTGTATTCCATTGACCTGCTAACTACTCATATACACTGACTATAGAGTTATATGTTCAGAAAATAAAGACTTTAAGGTGAAATTTCACAGGCATTGCCTTTGAAAACCAAAAATTTTGTGATGAATGAATACTTCATGTGCTGTGTGTAAAAAAAAAATAGTGCCAAAATTGTGAATCGAAAAGTCGCCTGCTGTTTGGATTACGTGTATCTAGTTAGCGAGTTATTTTTGCCTGACGGGATTCATGCTCAACTATCCGTGTCAGTCAGCTGTATATCTCAAATTCCCTTCTCACTTGTGATTTGATGTGTCTTTATCCCTGTATTTTAAGTAATTTCAGCATGTGTATCCTTGTAAATGACAATAAAGAAAGTTTCAGATACCCTTTGTACTTAAAAAAAATTCTAATTCTCTTCATCGTTTTTAGTGGAGTGAATATAATCAGTATTGGAATGTAATGAATCTGGCTATCACTCTTTCACGAGATTTTAAGCACTGCCGGTTTTTGGATCGTTTAGTTACAAAGGTTAGTTTGCATGCAGATATACACTAGTTATGGGATATGAGTAATATGCAAATCTATTTGATACGTGTTTACCTTCGAACGTCAATTGACTGTAATATCTGTTGTTTGGAAAGTACAGTTATAGCTTTCTGTTGTACATATTGGTTGAAGAAATATAATAAACCGTGAAATTTAAGATTACTTGTACTTCCCGCCGACTTTTACAGTCAGCTTATCTATGGCTTAATAAAATCATTTTTCTGCCTCAGTTTTCCCATTATCATTGACACATGTAGGCATAAAAACATACATAACTGTATTCTGCAGGAGGTTTGGTTCAGTTTATATATATATATATATATATATATATATATACTACCATAAACTGTATTGTTGTTAGGTAATATGAAGTCTGATCAAAATTTTGGTCACGGGTTGACATCAGTTAGAGGACCATTGAAAAATCAGGGAGTACTGGACATCTGTTTCGTCCTAGTTTGTGTCTCTTCTGCATTATGCATCAACTGGAGTTTAAACCTAAAACCTTCTGGTTACAAGGCGAGCTCTTAGACCATTCAGCCCTTAGAAACCGATACAATAACACTTAATTTCCAACTTTTACCGATTCGCGACATATAATACAACTGTCAGCCAATATCGTCGGCTAGTAACTGTCATCTTTCCTGACTTGGTGAATCCCGCTAGTCACAACTTCTCACTTCCCACAATTAGTAGGGGTCAACTGAAAAGTAGGTATATGTGAAAATCATATACGTATAAATCTCAGCGATATTGAAATGAGTAATTCTAGTGTTTTGTTCACCACACTGCTTCGAACTACTTCAGGGATATAGTTAAAGATATGCATAAAATGTCGTTAGATGTCTGTCTGTCACATCCTTTCTTATGTGGTAAAAATAGCTACTGAATACTAACGAAATTTATATTTTCTTGTCAGCGACAGTTTACTGAGTTTATTTGCATTTTAACAAGTTGTTTCTTCTCGTATTTTATAGGATAGTTTAAATTTGGCTATCGGCACTATTGCCAGTAGTGACACTTTGGTTCGTGGTTCGTACCGTTACGCCATTGGTAAGTTTCTTTGTAGGTTATTGTGCATTTGCTTTATTTCCTTGTGAATTTTCTGTCATCATGTTTTAAATGTGACTTGAAATTTTTAACATGAAAGAAAAGGATATTGGTTGAATGTAGATTTTAGTAACATTGTTATTGTATCGTTTTATTTGTTTGGTGATTGTAAGTCAAATCTTAAGGTGCTCGCTTTGTCCTTATTGAAACATTTTAGTTTCACGAAATTAATATCGATCATTCATCTACTGAGTCAGGAAATCCACTACTTAAGCAGCGCAATTTATTTGTTATTTAAACTACGTATTTTTCTGTGTGAGTCTCGATGTCGATCTTTGACGACACAAAGTGTTCTTGAAAGCCGTTGTTGTTATCTCTTCTGTGAATTTTCAAACAACCTGACGCGTTTCCATATAACAACACTCCTAACTCATTGAACTAATTCGTGGTAAGGTTTTTTCAAATGTGAAAGCTTCATACTTTTACTGTTTTACAAATTCCTGGTTTAGTTCTCATTTTACAAATTACTAACAAATCGGGTGTGTAGTTGTGTCGAAATTTAATCACTTACTTTTGTTTTCATGTACTAAACAGAATTCTTATCTTGTGACTTAAGCGAATACTGAATCATTATTTTTCACATTAATAGCTCGATTGATCAATATGAGGGAAAAATTTCCCGACAATGCACTGCTTGCTTTACTATTGGCTGTCGGCTTTCTAAGTATGTCAATGCAGAAACATATTGGTTCTCGACATCTTGCTATTTTACAAGTGAGTATTTTGTGTATATTTCAACATAATATACTTGGTCTCTTGTAGAGGAAATGATCCAGCATATGATATCATCCAGTAAATTGTTTAGAAAATGGAAGAAAGAAAACTGATGTAGCTAAGATATCAACTCATATTCAACTAGTGTGGTGAGAGCTGTCTGCTAGCCGAAATTGTAGACAACAATTTACGTCAATGTTCACGTCCCGAATCAGGGTCATGAGAAAAACAATAACAAAGCTTAACCTTGAGAAAATCACCAGCCAGCCACAGCGGAGCTAAAGTGTGGAGATATGGTTTACAGATATATGGCTTGATTTTTTGAGAAACGGCCACAAAGACATAACAGAATAACCTTCAGCAAGAAAACAACCAAGTAGAAGAGGTTACTTCTCCGCTAACAATAACTCTGAGAATAATACACTTAAAAATCTACAAGTATCTCTTGATTTTCTCTATAAACGATCTGTTGCCTAACACTTGTCTTCTGTCGTTAAATTAAGACTTCATTATTGGTTTTGCATTAATGCATATGTTTAAAGTGCGTTGGTGGCACAACAGTAGAATGCTTGCCAATCACGCAGGTGGTTAGGGGTTCATTCCCCGGTCGACGCACTACTTTACCTCACTAAGCTAGTAATAAGACTGGTAAAGGGGGAAAGTTGGTCATAAGGATGGCAACCCCATCTCGTTAAAATAAACACCACCACTACTGAAACTTCAAAGCTCTAGCTTGAAACCGTATGTTCCACTGGGAATGTAAAGTAACAAAATAATAAAAAAGTTTAAAAAACGCATAAAGGAAAACTGGTTTGTGTTCAGTTTTAATTTCACGTTGATTGATTATCTTGAAAAGAAAATGTTCAATCTCTGTTGATATGTCAACACCTAGTACGAACTCTTGGACGATGTCTAATCATTAACATGGAGTTATTTTAGTTGGTGGTAACTAGCAGTGGGACCTTGACTGCACATTTTCTCCTGTCTGGGACTCATGTGTTGTATGTACCTGCATTCCAAATGAATAATGGTGTTACCGCTGAGACTCAAGCCCTACACCCACCGTCTCAAACGCTACGAGAGCAATACTGGGTTACTTATGTGGCTGAAAGGTAAATTAAGATGTCAGTTACAAATTAGTGAAAAAGTAAGATTTCGGATTCAATAAGTTGGTGCGTAAATTCTAGTTTTTCTCAATTAAGTGGGTTTTATCAATTGGGAATATGTTCCCAACAGCTAGTTCAATATATGAAGGAAACTTTGGTTTGAATAAATAAGAAAGCGTTGACTGTCAGTGTTTTGAATAAATGGTCCGAGTTTTTGTATGTATCTGTTACAAAACGAAGAAGTTGATTAATGCTTTCTAACATATTGATGGTATGAATATGTAAACATTAGTATTATGTAGATGACTTATTTACTTATGGAGTGTACAATTTTCCAAGTCGGGCTTTTGTAATCCTTTTTCTTCAGACTTCAGGAGTTGTGTGATTGTCTTCCATATACTCTAGAGAACTTTAATAACGTCATACGTCCATCACAGTGTATTGGCAACCACTTTTGGTTTTACCACTGAACAACTGGTTTTTCCAAAATGATGGAAGTTCCAAGAATGGTTATTCCAACCAACATATTTCGTTATAGTGGAAATATTCATTCAAACATTTAGAAGACAAAAGAGTGTTTGAATATGGAATATTCTTTTTGATAATTTCCTCTTCCGGCTCTCTCTCTCTCTCTCTCTCTCTCTCTATATATATATATATATATATATATATATATATATATATATATATATATATATAGCTGTCGATATACGCTGAATATTCCAGAATAATCGTCATTAACAATATTGGTGTTTCTTAAATATTATCAATTTGTAAGCACTAATGAAATTCAGCTCAAGAAGGATGCATAAGTCATAATGAGCATAACAATGTAATAGTAAGTATAATCTCAAATAAAATTAAAGAAATTTCTGCAACAAATTAATTATTAAAACCCTGACGGTCAAGGTAAGGAAACCTTTTAAACCGAATTCTTTTGAATACATAAATTAAGCTTCTTAGTATAGATTCCAACAGCCTCAGCAATATGTAGTAGCCGAACTCTTGAGGTAAAATTAAGCTTAGCTGGCATACGGTAGATGACTTTGCAGGCACAATTTCTACCATTGTATCAAGCTTGGGATTTTAATTTTGGTCAATAAGCAGTACTAGTCACTTACTTATTGTGTCCATGTTTACATCGCTTCATAATTGTTTATCATTCTATGTTCTATTCCCAGTATGCCACTTAAAATGTCTATTGTTTTTTGGCAATAATATTGTTTATTTGCTTTCCATTAACACTAAGGCCATCGGATTTCTCGGGGAGTACAAACGTCTGCGTGGTAATTGTCAAGAAGTATATTATAATATAGCGCGTGCTTGTCATCAACTTCGTGAGTTTAACATTATATCAATATAATTATTTATAAATGTCCTGTCATAAGATTTATTTTGTGGTCTACGTATTTGTATATATAACCGGTCCTCATTATGTGAGTTGCTTAAAACTCCATTTTCGTTGTTGTGACTTTCTGACTGCCAGTTACTGCGTTTACGAATAAATCAAAGGCATATGTTGTATTTTGTCAACCTGGTTTAATTTACTAGACTCGGTAAAAAAGGAGGGTTGAACGTGTGGCTGATGTTACCACCCATCGCTACTCTAACTTTAAAGCACAAAAAACATAAGCTTATTCTCTGAAGATTTCGGAAAAACTCTTCAAACCAGGTGATGGATGATGCAGGCGGATGAAAGCCTTTTAGAAGCCAGTCAAATTATGCGTCTTCCGATGGAAATGGACATAAGTATATGGGCATGAAATGTCCGCATCATTTCTGAGGCTGGCAAGGTTGTCCAGATTGCAGAAGAAATGAGATATGTTAAAGAAGTGTTAGAAGTCTGTGAGAGCAGTCGGAATGGAAATGGACTATCCAAATTGTTAAATGGTGAGTCAGTAGTCTAATGTGCACACCCAGACAACAACCGCGAGCACACAGAAAGTGGGGCTATCATGATGTTGCCTATTAAATCAAAGGCTCTCATGCAGTGGGAATCAGTCTCCTCAAGAATCATGACAACAAGATTCAAGATAAAATGTTGGAAAGTCACAGTTATACAATGTTATTACATTATTATTCAATGAACATAGAGAAGATGGGTGGTGAATAAACTCGATCAACAACAAACATCAATCTTTATCAGCAGGAGAAATCTCAAGGAAGTCACCTTTTTCACCTATCTCGTTAGCATCATTTCAACTACAGTCAGACGGCACGGATGACGATATCAAAGCCAGTCAAGATAAGTTTCGAGATCTACATCACTCACCACAATAAACAATATCCATATTTTTAACATTTATGTCAAGTCACTGCTACATGGCTTCACCACCATAGGTATTTTTAACAGGCTACAGACTTTCACCAACAGCTGCTTTCGGTTGGTAGTTGGCCGATCGATAAGCATAAGCAATAAGTACTTCTGCTTGGCAGTGCACTAGCCACGAACCTAGCGGTCAGTGAATATTCAGAAAGGAATGGAGACGGACTGGGCGTATACTGAAGAGACTGTTGACCGACATCACACTTCACATCTTCTAGTGGAACTCGAATACCAGGCACCTCCAAGGATGATATGGAGGAGATCATGTGTTTCTATTCTTGGAGTCAAAGTGATGTTTGAGCAGAATTAAGGTGTGATGGCGAAGCCCTATATTTCTTTCGGAACTCACGGAATGAATAATAAGTAATAATTGCTTTTTTAGAACAAGATTTTAAAGTGAAAAAAATATATTTGGAAACAGCGAATACAATAGGCACTTATCAAGTGCGTTGAAATGAGTGTGTGTTTCTTTATATTACTTTTGAAGGTTGAATAACCATAGAAACAGTCATTTACGCCAATGATCTAGATTTCGGACCATAACTAATGACGCTTCAGGCCACTACGTTATGTAATGTCTGGGATCATAGTTCATTGATTTCTAACACACCAATAGACGATAACCCAAAGGATTTGATGGCCTACTTTGATCACTGGGTTACCAAAATTTCCATCCATCATAATACTTAGATGCTTCTGCATTTCTTATCGTTTTAATCCTATGATTACTGCCCTCACATTTTAAATAAGCTTTCAACCAAATGCTGTACAGTTCTGGAAGGCGATGAAAAGGAACCTGTTAGACAATCGGATCTTCGTTCTCATGGAACAGCACTGCGTCATATGATATCTGTATAGATTATTATTTCACTTGTAGTTCTTTTACAAAGAGAAAGTATTTTTCAGGAAATTACTCTGAGAGTTTCTATGCGGTGTGTTAACATATTGTCTGAAGTAAAGCTTTGTTGTTATATCATTATTATTAGTAAAAACTATCCTTCATTGCATGCTGCAACGTGATTAGTTTTAATTTTCCGATTGTGACGTGGACTTTTTAAAAGTTAAATTTGACTGTTCTGCTTATTTTTCTTATGCCTACGCATTATCATTCTTTTATATTTACATAACTGAGTTCATGAAAAGAACGGCTAGGCTAATCTGTTCGACTCATTAACGTTATCTGTGCCTCTAAATATTAAACAACTTTACCTTTCTCTATCATACTTTACACTGTAAGACTCTAAGACTGAATATACATGTTTTTATATATGTTTGTTTTTATTAATCTTAAAGTCATTACTCATGTGGCTATTCACTACTATGAGAAAGTTCTTGCCATGAAACCTGTTGGAAAAACTCAAGAAGAGAGATCTGTAAGTTATTTGTGTGTTGTTGTTTGTATTCCTTTCTATGATTGTTGTATTGTGGGTATTTGTTTATTCAATTTCTTCTTATTACTAGTATAAACATTACTCGTTGTATCCATTGAAAGTTTTCCTAAAAATTCTGAGTTTAACTACTTTTTTAACGTGCTGTTACAAAGTGTAACACAAGTTTATTAAATGATTAATTTCAAGGTAAGCATACATGTATTTCAGGATGTTATCTTCTAAATTGTAGCTAAAAATTTACCCAATATGGTGTTAATTTTGAAAATAAGTCTTTCTACTTCTAAAAATTTAGTTAGAGGAATGCATACGATCACACTTTCTATTACAATTTCTCTTGATTAATTCAAATTTTCTCAGATATATGATAAACTGTATTTTTAGTTATTTTTGCTCAGCCCTATTTTTCGTGTTATAGTTTCATAGAATTGAATTTTGAGAATTCGGAATTATTTTAGTGTCATTTGAAGAATCTCGAATGACTTTCAGTGTACACGGGTTTTCGGCTATGCCCGTTCATAGTTATGATACATCCCATAATAGAGTAGTTAAGTTTATCTTGACTACGGTAACAGCATTATTGGTTAACTGTTTTAAATGTGTTGAAAAATATCATCCTGTAGTATAATATGCCATAACTTTTTGTCAATCGAATAGCTATCTTCAGACAGCGTAATTGGTAGTAAACTAAATGCGGTGTAATAGATATAACACTTTGACTTTGGATGTTAGGAGTCAATCGTAGTACTAATTGACACTGATAAGTAAGAAGTACATGCTATTTTTTGTTATTCATGTTTATTTGTGGTCCTTTTATAATTACATCTTTCGAAAATGTATCACTTTTATCAAGAATTCAGCATATAGTAACTTCGCTTGAATGTTCTTTTTCTACTTTGATTTTACATTGTTGATCTCTTCATTGGTATTGAACATCATTCAATCGCAAGTTGTCCTTCTCCATCACTCTCAGCTTTTTGCTTTTTATTCTCTAGTTTACGAATCTACACAGAGAAGCTGCTTTCAATTTGGCCTTAATTTATAGATCAAATGGTAATCCCTCCATGGCTCGTCATATATTACAAAAGTACCTTGTCATATAAAAGAATGTGTATATAGACCTATTTTACATGATATTTCTTCTCTCTGTACATACACTAATGTAAATACACATCAAGTTCCTACTGTAATTTCTAACTTTTCTTTAAACTCATAATAAATTCTCGAAATCAGCTTTAAGAACCTAACTTTGAACTGTGAAAGAATCGATGGTTAATTAATTTATCCTCTTGGAAATAATACATACAGCTCATATCAAAATTTCTTGATTTCATTTTTACCTACATGGATGATTTGGAGTTCACTGTTTATTTATTTTTTCCAGTTCTTTTTTATTGATTTTATCTCCTGTCCCTGGTACATATTTGGCGATTTTATCTGCAAAATATTTTCCGTTTTATTGTGATTTTCTAGAAGTATGGTATGAACGCTTGTCTTAATGCTTTGGAAAGGCTTTTCTCTTCATAAGATGTTGTGAATCCGTGTAGACAATTTGAAAAGGATGTTGTTTGATCTCAGATTGTTTGGATGTCGCAAAATGTGTTTATTGATTGAAATGTAATTAAAAAAATATTTCAGTAACGCTTCAAATTTTGTTTGTCTCTTTTTTGTGTTCGTACTAAACAGAGGTAGAGTTCTATAAAATGTCTGATTTTGCATCACTACAAGAGGCACACTAGTCGTTATTTATTGTCTAAAGATTAAAAAACGATGTTTCCAACATTATTTGATTGATATCTGTTACCCTTATTCCTTTCATTTAGTAAGCGGTGAAGTGAAGAAGCAATGCTGAGATTAATATCTGTTAATAGTGAACAAACAATTATTTTCTGCGGATTAATTTAACTTCTGATAACGCTTGCTTCATACACAGTTAAAATTTAAATATTCAAAAATATGATGAGACGTGAATTTTGTAGATAACGCTAGTTGTTATAAGTGGAAATGATGTAAAGGTAGTATTAAAAAATGGTGAAAATAGCATGAAACTAAAACACACAAGCATGGTTAGCAATAAACTAGAATCGATAACTGAAGGCCAAATTATATGACATGGAATTCAGCGTCGAGTGCTCTACATTATATATTCTGCATTCCTAAAGATCTGGTATTTTAGAATGTTATTTATTCTCTGCCGCTTGTTTTGAATTCAATAACTTCATCGTACTGTCAATGTAAAGAGCTACAAATCAGTCCAACATAAGCTGTATCGCTTCTTACCTTGTTGTCTGTGTTGTTTTTGAGGCTGTTCATCAAGCCAAAATTATCAAGCTTATCGAAGATAATTTGCGGCATCAACAGTAAGTGTTACTTTTAAAATCATGATAAAGAGGGTGATTAACAGAGTTAAAATGGTACGATTACCATGTAAATAATATTTGCTACTTAGGCACATTGTGAACTAGATGATGTATGTTGAAGCGCAGCTGCAACTACGTAATCATCCAACAACTACATCTGAAAGTTAATTGGTGGATAAATATGGAAAACTGATATTTTTAAGTGTCAGTTTAAGTTACCATTGATTATATTATATCACTATCTTTCCACTTTTAACGGAGCGTATCTTATGTTTCAGGTGAATCGACCAGTTTATTGTCTACGAAGTTTCTAGCTTTCGGAATGCATTTGTTAATATTACAGAAGATAGGGTGAAATGTCTCTAAACACTGACTGTTTCGTACTTTTAAGAGTCAATTCAATGAAATAAAAATAAAACCAGAGATATTACATAGTATGTATGCTACATTCTTGGTTCTGCCTAAATGCTACATTTTTCAACATTCACGAATAGTAGGAATCCACGATAGCATTACCGGGAAGTAGCGATGTTTTTAAAAATAAGATTTGAAAACAATGCTAATGAACAGCCTTCAGACCTCGAAAATTTTGGAATAATATTTATTTTAAGACTGTCTTAGGGCAAACATGTGCCAAGTTTTTTAACTCAACTATTTTAATAGAGAAAAAAACGTGAAATAAGTTCAGGTTGTTTCAATAGAATGTGCTGACATCTGGAGAGAGTAGGAGGAAATACAGAAGCTGAACCCCGCTGATAGTCATAATCATCTAATATAAAGACTAGATTAAAGGCAAGCGTAAACCGTCCACCTTTGATGAATCCGAATGGAGTGAATCTCGAACATTATTTACATACTAGGAAAGAATTAACGAGGATGAAATAATTTAGATTTTACCTGATACTCGGTTCAACTAATTTTTTCCACTGAATATTGTTACAATGCATATTCCAGTAGTGATACCATTTATTGGTTTCGTAGTATAATTGAGTTAGCAAATTACATTGAATACGAAAACACCATTTATACCTGAAGTGGCTTGGAAATAAGAGATTAATAGGCTTTTCGAAATGGGAGTATGCATGAAATGGTCATTATTTCTGGTATAAATGGGTGAGAAAGACGACTGGAATGTTTCATACAGAAAGATACTTGTATCTTCTGTAGACAGAAATTTCTTACAGTACGAACGTTACTCACATGCATGTCTTATTGAAATAGTACGAGCTAAATTCAACAACCTTCCGAACGAAACTGAAAAACCGATGTCGTCTTAACTAATAAGTAAAACAAAAATTGGAAGGCACTACTGGGTAATTAACTGCATATATATAAGTGAAAACGAAATGTAATCACAGCATACAAGTCATGTAGTGTATCAGCGAGTGTCTTTCAATGGTGAATTGAAGCTAATTGGGTAGATTTATATCACTTCATTTGGTAAACCGTCTTAACTCGAACGCTGCTGCAAATAATTGATACTTATTCTAGTTATGGGTGTGATAAACAAGCCATTGTGATGATAACTGGAAAAGATATTCAGCCTAATCTGTCAGACTTGTACATCTTAGTAGTCGTAATCTGTAGACCTAAACTGCAGTGATCCAAGAACACAAATGACTTTGAAGCGGCCGATGACAATTATAATAAAGTGGTTACAACTGCGAAATCCAGTCGGTGACTCTTAAGTATACGATCTACCAAATGACTGTGAGCAACTATTCGGATTAATGCCGCATAGAAATTGGTCGACATTCAGTGACTGGTTTCAACATAGAAGTGCAGCAGTTCGAGTTGCCACACTTCATTTAACACACAAAGCAAGAGAAGAGAGTAAAGGGAGGTTCAAAAGACAGATAATAAACAGAACTGTGAGGGAGAAAGAATGGTAATATGGAAGACCAATAGAGCTTCATTGCATATAACAAATTACAAAGAGTGAATGCATCTGCACTGTCATTGGCACTACTATTTTGGGCCATATCACCAATTGTCTCAAGCCACTGGTTTTTACAATATTGAGGACCTCAACCAGACAACAGTCTACACCTCCCTGCGTGACTGGCTTAAACTAACAGTTATGGATTTCATTGACTGATTCCATGTTTTGGTTTGAACACCAATAGCTCTTTTCCAACCTATGTTCTGTCAGGTAACACTGCCCTCTGAGGAAGGCGATGGCTAGGCATACGTAATGCATGTCCTAACCGTCTCAATCGGTATAACTTCATCGATTGATTTCCACTCCTTACCTCGCACTCGACGCTCAACCTCAATAATACTCACCCTATCACACCACCAAACATGGGAAATAGAAAGCAGGCACATATGGTCAAAGACAGCCCGCCAGGCTTTTCATGTCTTCCACTTTCAATGGCCATGTTTCACAACCATAAGCGAGGAAGGAGCGAACTGCTGAGCAGTATACACGTCCTTTGATCAACGACATTCAGCGGTAGAGTTAAACTCATACTGCCCATGGGCCAGGAATTCAACTTAAGTGGTCATATATATATATATATATAATCATAAGACCTAGAGAAGTAATTAGCTTTGCTTTCTTTTAGTCTTATTTTGTATGCGAAGCTCTTGCACTCGGTTTTACTTTTCTTTCTCAGACCACAGAATTTCATTGCAAGTTTGAACTCTTGAGAAAATTAACTACCAATACAGACTCACATTTTTGTGTGTGCGAATTGTTTATTTTTTGTATGGTGACTGGATCACTCTTCAGGGCGTGATGAAATTTTCCGTTTCTTAACTGAAGTTTTCGGACTGCAGGTGTCCTGAGAAGCAGGTGAGTAGGCACCTTTTGACTGGTTGGTGCCATTTAACACCCTATCTCACCGAAGTGATTTTGGAGGAGACGCCTAGTGGCGGTTCCTCAAGTAGTTTCTCAACTAACCCAAGTTTGCCTACTGCCTCCACTTGGTTCTCGTCTCCATGTGATAGTCCTAGTTGAGCTCGAGCCTTAGCGCCTCAGTGAGAGGCAAATGCACTCAGATGAATACTTTTAACATAGTTCCGGAAGGTAACCTAATCGAAACATTTTCAGGGGAAACGTTTCTAGGAGGATCCAGTATTCAGTATCACTTTTACGGGATAGTATAAACCAATCTGATTTCTCTGTGCTCGCTCCTTGATTGTGTGGTAAAGGTTCCTGGTCTTCGGTAAACTTCTGCGTAGTTCGTCCCGCCACTCGACTTCTGTAGCTTTGGTTGACTTTAAAAGGCGTAGTGCTGACATTAATTATATATTGTTTGTAGGATGCAGTGTGTTGAGACTTTGTTGCTACTGTGAATGGAGTTGATCCTTTCACCAGTTAGTCCTCCGGTATCGTCGTCAAAAGAAAAGAGATAATAATGATAACAGATATAATAAGTGTAGGTTATGCAGACTAAAAGACAAAAAGAAATCAAGAGAACGTAAAAAGCAGACAGCTAATTAAATTTGAAGTTGATAGGTATACTTACATAAATATATGTATAATATAGATAATAATAATAATTATTATTATAAGCGCAAGTGTAGTAGTTGGAGCAGTCAGGAGAGAATATAAAGAAGTGAAACGGCGAATTGAGATATCTATACGTGAATGGTGTGTGGGATTTTAAGCGGCTGGGTCCTTGTGTCTCTGCATCATTTTCCAGCTTTCGCTTAAAGGTGTCCACAGACGGTGCTATAACTACATCTACGGTGAGGAGTTTCAAGGATGGAAAATCCTCAGTGAAAAGAAATGGGGGGCACCCGAGTCCTTGCCTTCTGGTGAGCTATCCTTCTGGGATTTCCACGAGGAAGCCCATACCTACTCAATGACAGAACGCCTTTGTTTGAGTGATCTCGGTCATTTGTTATCTTGTAGTCAGTAATCAAATCCCCCCTAAGCCGACAGTAGCGAAGTGTGAATGTGCCTAATTTCTTTAGCCTTTCATCATACGTTTTATTTCGGAGACCCACCACTCCTTTTGTCGCCTGTCTCTGAACTCTTTCCAAGAGGTGTGGGTCTCTCCTAAGCAGTGAGGGTGTAGTGATATTATGCACTTCAAGGTCTAACATATGTTTGGTATAACCTTAGAAAGATCTCAGGAGTGAGTGCACCTAACTGTCTATGTGTCAAGTGTGAGACCGCATATGCTGTCGCTACATCGTCCGTGTAATTTACGCTTGTGTCCAGTTTTTCCGTTAGAGCTAGACATGAGTCTTGCTCCGACGTTGTGCAGGACAAGCTTTCATTGCACAGGGTGTAACTTGCATTCTGCAGTGTACAGGTGCGTAATTTCACTACTTTGCACTTTTTCAAGTTGAAAGTCATACCATTAGCCACCACCCAGTCTTCCAGAAGCTTTTGATCTGCTTGCAGCTTATATGGGTC